CAACAAAATGTGCACACCTTATCTTCAGACTTCCATTGCAAAACAAGTAGACTGTTGGCTGCTTTATGTCACGCGTCTTCCGGTCTGAAAAGCACTTTAGTCGAGCCATATATACGGACGGATTCGACACTTTTCTTTACGGCAGTAACTGCTGGGCAACACTTCGCAGCATGCTACTTATAAGCCACTTTGTGAGTAGTATCCATCACACTAGTTTTAATGTCATCATCACTCACTCCATGATTTTAACATACACGAGTATTGTTCCGAGCAGTTGAGCGGGATGAAAGTTAGTGTAAGAATGACCATAAACTATGTGTGCACAGAATGATATTTAAGAGGATCTAAGATAATTACGCATTTTACCTGAGAATAAGCATGGAACTGTTATGAAGTGCCAAATCAGAGAGCTGACGAAACTTGAATGGAAGATAGGTAGTTATGTTGATTGTGAACAGTAAACTTTTTGAAAAGACTGGTACTTCAGTCACGCTTGAACGATCGTTGGATGACCAAACAAATTATTAATGTTTCCAACAGCTAACCTGTCAATTGTTAGACTTTTCTAGGCCAAAATCTGAGTTATTTGCACCGTATTCTTTATCAGTCGGCAGAGCATATATAAAATATAGTCATGTGATTAACTAGTATCGTAATATTTGCACAGTTTTGTAGGCTCTAAATAGTTGACATGTGCACTAATTTTTTCCAAAGGAATGTCTTAGAAATGTGACTATAAATAACCGCAAGTTCAATTTACAGAAGAATGGAGAGAGCGAGAGAGATCATTACGTAATGTGCAAATTGTTGTTAAGTGGATAGAGTAAATGTTCTGTGAACATGAAACAAGAAAGATTGGTTTGGTGAAGAGTTATCTTTTTGGTGACTTTCCTCTTAAAGACAACTGCAAATATACACTTTTTACAATAATATGTTGATTAATAGCAATAATTTACTGACCATGGTAACAGAGAAGTAAGAGAAACAGAAAATACTCGTTGAGTCATAAAAACATAGAAAAGTAACGGCTAACTGATAGGTTTTATCTTACTATGGGCAGTTATTGAGACTGTTGGATTTTGCAGATTTGCACAAATAACTGACCTTAGTTAAACGGCGATTGGAAACCCGTTATTAGTGAACAGCCCTTTTGACTTAGAGTGAGATACCACAGAAGTCGGTTTTCACAGTCCAGACTCGGCTGTCCTAAGATACTCCAGCAATGCTTCGGAGATATCTATGATCGAAAACCGGTAACCTACAAATATGTTATACTCTGACTGGCGATGTTTCACAGGACGGATCGAACTGCCGTTCAGTACACTCGTTATTTAGTCAGCAAACGGTTGCCAAAAGGCAATCGGGTTTGTGTATCCGTGCCGAGATTTCGTCAATCACCAAGCCATCAGCGCTGATGAGACTCCCAAGATAAGTGAAGTGGTCAACACGGTCAACTACTTCACTGTCTACCACTGGTTCAGGTGAAGTCGCAAGCCAATCTTGAAGCAACATTTTGCATTTTCAGGGGGAAAACCGCATCCCGAACATGCTTGCTTTGTTACCTAGGGTAGTCAGAAGACTCTGCATTTGGTCAGCGTCTTCACAAAGTAGAACCATGTCATCAGCATACTCTGAGTTAACTAGCATGTCTCCTGGTAGAAGGACTACTCCTGAAAAGTCAGACGAAGATAATATTGACTCTAAAAGCATGTCCGTGACAAAGTTAAACAAGAATGGAGAAAGTGGACGGTCCTGACGGACACCACTTGAAGTAAAGAATTCCGATGACAGTTCGCCATAAGTTCTCACTCGACCTGTAGTGTTCGAGTAGAGAGCTTGTATAAGGTTAGTGTACTACTTTGGTACACATTTTCATGACAGACTCTACCAAAGAACCTCACGATCGACACAGTTAAGTGCCACCTTAAGGTCGAGAAATACTACTATCGCGGGGCGTTTAAACGTGTGTCTCTGTTCTGAGACCTGACGTAGTGTGAATATTCGGCCTATACATTTATGTCCACGTCTGAAACTAGCCTGGTTGTCTCTAGTCTGCTTTTCATTAGCTCTAGTTAGGTGTCTAAGGATAATCGAGGCTAACAATTTAGACACTATATTAGTTACACTGATTCCCCTGTGATTGTCACAAAAAGACTTTTGTCCTTTCTTATAAATTTGGACAATCAGGGATTGAGACCAGTAGGATGGGTTTACGTCCAGTTCGTAGATTCTACCTAAGATCTCAGTCAATCTAACTGCTAAAACTGGACTACAATACTTATAAATCTCAGGGGTCAATCTATCAGGACACGCAGCTGTTCCTCGCTTCAAATTCCCTATCGCTATCTCATATTCACAAAGATTCGGACGACTTTTATCGGTTTCCCATTCAGGTAGACTGGAGATCGTGGGCAACCGATGTGTGGCTGAAGGCCAGTTGAACTGATCCCTAACGTGTTCTGCCCATCGATCCAATTTCCTGGATCGAGAATGAATAATAAGACTATCCTTTCCCGAAACAGTCTCACTCACATTCCGGTTCTTAATACCGGTTTACTTGATGAGTCTGAATAAATGGCTACTGTTGCCCATCGCCGCTGAAATTACTATCGCTCTTACTTCCGCTACCCATCACTGTTCGCGATCATTGCGTAGGCATTTTATCAGCCTCCGCTTAAGCTGACTCCTCTCCTCATCGCACTAGAGCCAGGTTTTCGAGTGTTTATCAGTTCGGTGGATGCTACTGAAATCCACGGCTTCTGCATGGCCTTATGGTTTACCTTACTAGCAGATATCACTGCCGTTTCCTCAGCATTTTGGATATCATTCCAACCTGCCTCAGGGTGGGCATCACTTACTACCTGGCTGCCTAACTGTTTTTCTAGTTGTTCCTGAAATATATTCTTAGCTTTATCATCGTTAAGTAGAGCCGTAAATGGTTTCTTTGCAATATTTTTCCTACGTCCAGTAAGCCTCAAGCAAATACACGCTTGCACTACAGCATGGTCTGAATCTAAACAAGTGCTACAGAGTGAGCGGCAGTCTTCAAGAGAGCCTCTCCATCGATGGCTTATAGCAACGTGATCTAGTTAGGTCGGCTTTGGGGGTCGACAGGTCAAGAGATGTTTTTCCTTATGCCTAAAGTCAGTGTTTACATAGACGATTATCTAAGCATAGCTACAGCAAACGGTCGCCGTTATCTGTTCTTTGAGCCGCGACACCATAAAATCCACCCAGGTGTCTGTCTCTCCTTTCCACATACTCTACCTAATTGAGCAATAAAGTTACTAGCTATTACTAAATTTGTGGAGGAGTTTAGAGGTTTCTGTAAAACTCATCTCTTATCTCGTCTTAACTGCAGTTAGTGGGAGCGTAGGCAGATACGACGAAGAGGCAACGACGTTTGTCCCTATCCTTCCGAGTTCGTACCGTCTTGTTTAGTCAGACAGCGCACAGGCGATTATCTACTGGGATCCTGTCTAGGAGAGCTAGTTTTGCCCGACGACTTGATACTATACCTACGCCGGCCAGGCCAGGGGAGACAGCATTAAGGCTACTCGAAACACGAAGCGTAATTCGTGTTGTTTCTTTATCTGCACAAGGTGAAATCAAATTGATGATTTTACTCGGATCTTGTATGCGCGTTTCGGAGACGCAACCTACATCCATCGCAAGGATTCCAGAGTTATAGCTAATGAGGTCTGTTGCCCTATTTGACACAATGTTCGAAAATTAAAAGCTCCAATATGTAATTTAGTACGGGGTCTCAAAAGACCAGGAATAACATATCGTTAGCTCAAACCGTTTGCTTCAAAGGGCAGCGGGTGGTAAACGATCGAAGGAAGAGTTGGTCGAGGGGATAAGAGAGTTATTAGGTGTAGAAAGGATTTGATTGTGACCGCCTCGGTCTCGTGTGCTTTTATGGGCATGAGGGCGGATGTTACTTCCCGGTTGCCCACACCGTGGACTGGCCTCAGTTAAACGGCCATTGGAAACTCATTAGTAGTGAACAGCTCTTTTGTCTTAGTGTGAGATACCAGAGCAGTGGGTATTTATAGACCAGACCATTGGGTTGGGATTCACCGATCTAAGTTTCTAACTTTAACTGGTTTGTATTATTGTGCGACAATAAACAGACAGATACAACACAGAACTTTGTACGTATGTGCATCAGTTTAGGTTGCCATACCGAATTAGCATTGTGAGACAATAACCGAAAATAGATGTCTTTGTTGTACCACATGCTTGTTCAAATGACGTTTGATAAGTTATTTATGTACTTAGTTTTGCTTCAACTGTTATCAATTTAGCCATCAAAATCTTTGAGTTTCTTCACACTACCATCAATAGTTATCATCATTACAATGGAAACTTCAATATAGATTTTTCAATTACCATTTATCGTCTTATTTAGTGTATTAATAACAAGTTAAACAGGTTCCCCACTGTAGTTTACGTCACTTAATAACGAGTTTCCACTTATTTCGTTTTTTAGAAATTAAGGTTATTTGAACCATCACACCGGTAATATTTTTTTAGTTACTAGAGGTTCCGCAAACGAACTAAGGCATAATTACTGATAAAAATCGGATAACGCTATCACACTAATTATTAGAAGTTTCTTTTCTACTCGGCAAGATGGATTGGGCTTTTACAAACAGCTTAAATGAAATAAGTATTTGGTCCGACAAACTTGGATGTCAGCGAAATCAATAAGCATATCATACGACTCAAGGTCTCAGACATGTGATGAATTAATCTTTTACCTACCAAGTGATTACTAGGTATGATAGTGGGAACATATGTTTCTTTAAAGAAATATATTTCGTGTTTGTGGTTTTGTATTATTTGAGCACTAATAAACTGGTATGATTCCAGTTGCATACGTATGATTAGACTGTTTTAAAGTAAAAAAAGCCGAACACTTAAAAAACACATTAAAAGCACTAATTAAGTGTAAACTTACAGCAGATATGCATGTACTGCAAAGGTGTAGAAACTTAAGGAGGATAAGGTTGGTTCCCATAATGACCTGGGCCATAATTTTGCTGCGGCATTCCTGAGTGCGGGAAATAACCTGTTTGTTGGGAGCCTCCGGGTTGAGGGAATGCGTTTGATTGTAACATGCTAGGGTTAGAAAACGCTGCAGGTTGTTGTGGCATCATTGGAACTTGTTGCATGGGGTTGAACGGTTGTGTAGGTGGATATTGTGGTGTCATAGCATTGGGATAATTTAGGTTGTGTTTATTGTAATTACCTCCAATATGTGGCCCACTTGGTCCATATCCTTTGGTTATCCCATACTTATAAAGTCAGAAAAATTAATACATAATTGATCGAGAACGACTTTAGTGAGAAGTGAGAAATAAATGCAACCAAATTTCTCAAGTGACGATGGAATATAGATCATCTAAACTGGAAACATGCGTTAATTATTTATAATTAACATCGTTTAATTTTGTCTAACCCAGTCAGTCAACAACAAGGTAGGACTTCGTACGTACATACATCAGTTCAAGATGCTATACCACATTAACACAGCAATAAAATTGTCAATCCAAAACATATAGTGATATAAGTAGTAGAAGTATACGCAGTAATCAGGAAGATTGAGGTTCGAAGATATTGTACAAGGAGTACAATCCAGCGAAATGAATTTGAGAAGAGTAAGATTAAGGTGATGAGGAATTCTGAAGATTAGACTTTCACAGAACACAGTGAATGAATGCATCTGCGTCATTGCAAACGATTTTGAGCCATATCGTCCAAGGTCTCTAACTATAGGTTAATATCATCTCGCAGACCTAAACCTGGTAGTCTACACCTACCAACATGGCTCCGTCATGATGTCAGCGCCTTCATGGATTTCTGCCATGTTTTGGTTTGACGGCGGCTCCCAGCTTCCTTCCAACATACTCCTACTCCACAAAACATAGCTCGTCGAGGCAGTCGGTGGTTGGGCATTCGCAACACATGTCCTACCTACTTCATCAACTGATCTGTCATCCTTACATAGAACCCGTTTCCTAGCAATAGCATCGCTTACTCGCTGGACCCAGAATACACGAGCAATGTTTCGAAGACACCTGTGATTGAATACTAGCAACTAACGAATATCCTTAACTCTTCTCGATTATGTTTCGCATCCATGAAGTAGGACGGAGCGAAATGCTGCGCAATAGACTCGTCCTTTGGTTAGTAGACAGGTAACTCACCCACGTCATCAGTGATGCAGGTTGACAAAAGCCAGTCAATTTTTCTGTATCCGTGCAGAGATTTAATCGGCCACCACGCCATCAGCACTGGTGAGACGCCCAAGATAAGTGAAGTGGTCAACACGCTTAACTACTTCACTCCCTATCAATAGTTCGGGTGCTGATGCCAGCCGAACCCGAAGCAACCTTTTGGCCAACTAATCAACTACTCAACTATTCAACTCATTAGAACACACAAGTAAAATAGCAAACTAAATTTTAACACTGGTGTCGCTACTTAGTTTACTTTTCTGTGGATATTCTTCATCTTTTAAGCTTTCGCAACTCGATTGAGTGAACCTTTTCTCACTCCACAAATACTTCTATATGTGACTACTAAATATAATTGCATAATTCTTAAAATGATTAGGTAAATACCTCAACCTTGCTACTGACTCATCATAATCTCTTGTTATGTACATAAAAAAAGTTTCGTCCATAAAGCTTCCGATGTATCGAAATAATTTGATTAAACTTCTTTGTTTTATGCCTTTTGTTCTTATGCTATGTATATTTAAAAGTCAGAAAACCCTAGTTTTTACTTGATGGCCATTGATCGTTAATAAAAATAGGAATTTTTTATTTAACTCGTAAACCAAATACAGATTTATGAGCTTCAATTGAGCCGTACGTGTAGTATTGGGTTAAATGGAATACGTGATAACTGAAAAGTAACCAATGTTATGGTGTTATGATCCCAGGAATAATTGAACTCGACATACCAGGTTTGTGACCACGTTATTTAGCTTGCTGATTTGATGCTGAAATGCAGGCTTCACGGTATTCTAATATAATCATTAAGCAACAAATACTTGATTACAAAATATCGCTTAACTTTGCTTCATAAAAATGTTCTCCAATTAATAAACAGTAAAATGAAAACTGATGATCGGATAGCGTCACAGAAGGTACCCGCAAGTGTTTGATCAGAAAACACACGGTAATATTCTTCACTGATTTTAAGTTAGGTGATGATAGCCAACTACTATTTATCTATAACTTCGACATGTTATTTGTATTTCCTTTTTATTAATTGAATACCTATGTTTGCCACATGTGAATTCTACTGCTTCTAATAATGGTAACCCTTGACAATCAATGGTTAATTACTTAACTGGCACCTAACTTATACATCTTAATCTAGATGTACGGAACATGATACCAGTAAAAAGCGAGTTTGTAAATGCTGCTTTAAATTTTACGAGTAAGAAACCTACAATGTGAGACAGGAATCAAAAAAGCTTACATCAGAAGCTTAGCTCAATACTGTATAGCTCAGATAAGTTTGTTGCATAACCTAGGGATTGATACACAAATACAAAATTATTGAAGTGGATGTGAAAAATTACACATTTAGGTAAATTACCTGATATCTTTGCATGAAGTTTTGGTCACAAGCTAGACTACCAGGAGGGCAAAATCCGCAAACGCAATGGTTTTTCTAACGATATTAAAAATCTGGTGGACATACTTTCATCATTTTCTTTCTGTACTTTAATCTCTGCTTCTCGATTCGTTCAGGTTTGTACCTGCCTCCCGAGCTACTGCTAGAACTACTACTGCTACTACTACTACTCCTTTTTCTATAACCTTTCTTCTTACCCATTGAGTTGCAGTTTCTTTCAGAAGAATATCGAAGAAGACTAGAAAATGGAGACGTGATATCAAAGAAATGAAATTATTTTCAGAATAGATTATTACTTAAAATAAGTTAATGTGAACTTAAAAACAAATATTTAACGATCAACAGTGTATATCGACTTCAAAAATTGGATCCAAAGCTTGTGGGCGAAAATCCATTGCTTTTACAGCACTCTAGGTTTCTTCCGAAGGTGAAAATTAGGAATAAACAAAACATTACTTTTCAGTAATAAGACCAACATGAGCCATTTTAAGAATAAGTATCAATCAGAGGATTTCCAAAAGAAAATCATTTTATTGAAAGGAGGGAATTAGATCCAAACACATTAATAAGAAGCACAGTCACATTTAAACATCGGTGAAATGTAAAACTATGGAGAGATTTCTGGACTAATGTTTATCCGCCGAATTACTTTCCAGTTTGAAATAAAGGAATTCGACGCCCACATTAATTTGAGGCTACTGTAATCTTATGCAAAAAATAAGCTCTCTCCATTCAAAAAGATAAAATTTTCAAAGATTTCACAATCCCGTCTTAAATACTGAAAACCAACAGCGAACATATTATGCCCTGTGTTATATTTTTATACAAGCGAACAGATTACAAGTTTGAGGTTATCTTGTTAATAATTCATTTACAACTAGTCGCAGGTGCACAAGTGTCTCCAAAAGCAAAGTAGTGCAACAAACGTGTAGGGATTATTCTTCAAAACAGATCGGAACTATTCCAAAGTAAACACTATGAGCAAGGCTAGATCGTGGATAACTAAATAAATATTACAGCTTCGTGATCTGATTGACAAAAATTTGTTTGAAGATTCGGATAATGTTCTACCTTTTATGAGCACAAATCTTTTAGTGTTAAAGATGATGACTTCATGTACAAAGACAACTGGGTGCGGTAGTATAAAAAGGATAACTTACACCATGTGAAGAGTTTGGTTCTAGTAACAAGGTTTCTTCGAAGCACTACAATCAAGTATTTCCTAGAGAATACACTGAACTAAGGACTTGACACAGATGACATTGGTTACTGCCCAGTAATCAGTCAACTGTAAATACACCACAATCCGAAAGGTCATTTGAGACAAAGAAAGCTTAGTGGTAACGTGTCTCCAACTGTGAAAATGAGTGACAAAGGATATAATCCGCCAAACAGCATCGCTCTCCTCACGATTACAAGCATTTCTTTCTGACAAGTGCAGAATAGGACAGGACGTCTATTAATCTAGTCTCTTCGAATGCAATTATGATCCCCTAAGGGCTCTACCGTAGGCAATCAGACTACCGTTAACATGGTTTAAAAAAATAGGTCGCCGCTAAAAGTGCTACCGGCCGCAGCTTTTAAACGAAGTGGTCGTCGGACTTGCCTATCGTGATGACTCAATCGAGCTTATTGGCTGGAACATATGTTCCTGTAGGTCATACTGTGTCAGGCAGGTTGATTCGACAACGGTGGGACCAAAAACAGCTACTGAAGGTCTGAGGGCGATATCGTACTGCTGACTGTAGAGGGGTATGACAGCAGTAAGGTATTTCCCTCGGACAACCAACATCTGCAGCGATGCTGCCTTCTCCCAAGGAAGGAAGGGTTAGAAAAGTTCGACCCTAAAAATGTCACATCTCATCCTGCCTCACGGATTTTCGTCTCCGTCGGTAAGGGTGTCCACTAAGGGCTTTCAAGAGCGGAGCTAATACGGATATCTCGCCTACGCCATAAGTGAAGCAAGATAGCAAAAACCAATCGAGCCTTCTGTATCCGTGCTGAGATTTCGTCAGTCACCAGACCATCAGCACTGATGAGACTACCTGCAGTCAGTGGGAACGTAAGAAGATACGACGAAGAAGCAATGGCAAGTGTCCTCATCTTTATGAGTCCTTACTGTCCCGTTAAGTCGGACAGCGCACGAGCGACTATCTACTGGGATCCAGTCTCATTCAGTTGCAACGTAGAACTTCGTACATATGTACATAAGTTCATGTTGTCATACCAGAGACGCAGATGTCAAATCAAATCCCATAGTGATAAAGATAGTAATGGTAATGAAGAAGACTAGGGTTTGAAGATATTATTTAATAAGTATAATTCAGTGAGATAAGGTTAGAAAGACAAAGGTAGAGGTGCTGACGATTCCAGAAGATTAGGATTTGAGAGAGCACAACGAATAGATGCACTTACGCCATTGCAAACGATTTTGAGCCATGTCGTTCAAGGTCTCTAACCATCGGTGACTTCAGTCTCGCGGACCCCAACCAGGTAGCCTACATCTACCAACATGACTCAGTCCACTTGTCAATGACTTCATGGATTTCTGCCGTGTTTTGGTCTGGCCACCCCTAGCTTTCTTCCAACCTACTCCTACACCACAAAACATAGCTCGTCGAGGCAGTCGGTGGTTAGGAATTCGTAACACATGTCCCAACCACCTCAACTGATGAAGTTTCACCACTTCATCTATTGATCTGCCATCCTTACCTAGTACCCGTTTCCTAACGACAGCATTGCTTACTCGGTTGTCCCACGATATACGAACAATGCTTCTAAGACGTCTATGATCGAATACTAGCAACCTACGAATATCTTCTACTCTCACTGGCCATGTTTCACAGCCATAAAGTAAGACGGAGCGAACTACGGTGCAGTACACTTGTCCTTTAGTCAGCAAACGGATATCTCGCCTACGCCATAAGTGACGCAGGTTGGCAAAAGCTAATCGAGCTTTCTGTATCCGAGCTGAGATTTCATCAGTCACGAGGTTATCAGCGCTGATGAGACTTCCCAGATAAGTGAAGTAATCAACACGCTCGACCACTTCACTCCCTATCACTAGTTCAGGTGCCGATGCAACCCAGTTTTGAAGCAACATTCTGCATTTCGGTGGGGGAAAACCGCATCCCGAACGTGCTCGCATTGTTGCTTATGGTAGTCGAAGATTCTGCATTTTGTCAGTCTACGAGAGCTAGTTCTACCCTATGACTCAATGCTATACCTACACCAGCAAGACTTCGGGAAGCATCATCAGGGCTTCTAGATACGCGAAGAGTAAAACGAGTTGCTTCTTTATCTTTACAAGGTTAACTCAAGTGAATGACGCTACTCCGATCTTGTATGCACGTTTCCGAGGGGCAGCATACAGCGATGGTGCGAGATTCTTAAGTCCTGGCTAAGGAGGCCTGTTGCCCTATTTGACACAATTTCAGAACATCAGAAGTTCTAACATGAAGTTTAAAGTGGCATTTCGGGAGACCAGGAATAACGTTTCGGCAACTCGAATCGATTGCATCAGCGGTGTAGGGTGATAAGGGAATGTGAGAACAGTTTGTCGTGGAGACAAAAGAGATATGTCAGAGGGTGTAGGACGGATTTGATTGTGACCAATTTGGTCTTGTGTGCTGGCACGGGTATGACGGCTGGTGTCACTTTCCGGCTGACCACACAGTGGAACGGTGTTTCTTGAAGAACCTGAAAAGGAAGGTAGATTAGTGTTGGTCTTAGAGACCTGGGAGCGTGACCGAAGAGCTCAAGGGACAACCGCTTGAGGCCGGTCACGCACAGCCTTTTTGTGAGTAGTATTTAAAGTGCAAGCTCCGTTCTTGTTTAAAACGCCTTACGCCGGAGGCGGAAATCCGTAACGTAAGGTGGTGTCACATTTTTATGGTCGACTTTAAATAGATGAAGTGGTGAAACGTTATCAGTTGAGTTGGTTGAGATGTGTTGCGTATTCTCAACGACCGATTGTCTCCTCGCGCTGTTTTGCGATGGAGGGAGAGGTTGGAAGAAAGCTAGGGTTGGTCAGATCAAAACATGGCACAAATCCGTGAAATCAGTGAAAACTGGATTAAGTTATATCTGCAAATGTAGACTACGTGGTTGGGGCTACTGAAGTAACAGTTATCGAGGGTTAGATACCATGAATGACATGTCTAGAAACTGTTTGCGATGGTACATGTGCATTTATTCTTTGTGTTATCTTAAATTGTAACCTTTAGAGTTCCTCATCACCCTTATGGTTTTCTTTTTAAGTTTATTCCGTTAGATTCTACTTCTTGAGTAATATGCTCGAACCCTAATTTCTCCGACTACTTCTAATACTTCCACTACCTCTACTACCATGGGATTTGAAATGACCATTGAGTGTCTGCACTAATGTGGTATGGCAACCTAAACTGATGTACGCACGTATGAAGTTCTAGATTGTAACTGAATGACTGACTCCTCAATGACACTGTTTAAGGACTGGGCAGCGTTTAATAACAAGTCCCTAATATTAATCTCATATACCTCTACCTAGAGATATCAGTAACCCACTGTCATCAGGGCGAAGTTTTTATTCCGCACACAACCACTTTAAACAATGCACACAAGTCGTGATATGATACACAATTAAGTTAGATGTTACTTTCTCAGTGTAAGGGAACTCTTGTTTAAACTAAATTATTTTAAAGCCACTACTCGGTAAAGGCATGGAGGGTGAATGTAGATTTTTACTGATGTGATTTTAAACCTTTTACGAGCCTGTAGAATATAACTAGTGCCTTCAAACCAGTGGCGATGGATACCGGACACATCACTCAAACAGAATAGTTAATTAGGAGAGAAATAACCGACAAAGATTGTTTAACTGGTCAAAATATATAAAATTAGATGTTTCCGAAAGGTTGATTTTTTAGATCTAACCGAAATTGTCAGCAATTTCAGAAAAGGAAATGGGTTTGTATGAAACGGAATAAAATCAAATGCACTTACGTAATGCGACAGGACAATTAATTCACGAAAAAAACAGGGCTTCGTAGTAGTTGGAAACAATAACGTCTATGTGGTGGCGTTTGCGCAGCCCACCACTGTGTGACCTGAACAGTTCAAGGCCGCTTGCTTTCCAATACCCAATATATTTTTCACATGTTAGTGTAAACCAACTAACTATTCATAGACTTCACTTCTGCCTTTGAATTTTCACTATGATCACGACTGCTATACAGGTTTGTGTGCATTAGCAGTGGCAGGTGAATAACCAACTGGCTGCGTTATTACCTCCCTGGCAGGGAAGAACATACTGTTCTTGGAAGAATGTGGTTAGCGTATTTATGAAGTCAAAAATGTGTGTCAGTAGGAGACTTTCCTCAGATTTTTGTTTTCTCACCTTTTCCACATGATTTTCCATCTCCTACAGAGAACACCTTAGTTAAATATGCAGATGATCTTACTGTATGTAAATTGATGTCTTCCGCTTCATACTAAATCTTTCAAAACATCAAGCTGTGAGCTTTGGCCTGAGACATGGACAGAACTCAAACACCATGTCTGGATCCCATAAAGCTTGTACAATTGTAGATTCTAAGACAAAAATTCACCAATCCCTCATCTTGGTTTAAGTTTTTCACCTGATCTTTCTTGGTCTCCTCGTGTTTTACTGATATCGAAGAAAGTTTTGGGTTCGATTTAGTAAACCAAGCATTTACACTCTGTAGTCCCTTAATTTTCCTAATTATTATTTCCCAGACTTTCGAGAAGAAACTGTACGGTGTTGCCGAGCATGCCGGAGGTGGTTAGCGGAGTTCAAGATAAATCTTTTAAAATCCGTATAATTATGACAGTGGTTAGGCATTTAAGAACTTTCAAACTGTTGGCCAGTGTTATCTCATCCAATACTAACCACCCATTCCATTCACAACATTTTCCTTATATATTATCTGGCAGAACAGGATGCTAATGCACTGGAAACAAAAGAATTTTCGGCTACACTATGACCTCTAAACATCTTGCTGCTGATTTTTTGACCTTTTATTTCAGGCTAGTGTTCACAAAGACTATGGTCTGATACGCATCGGACATTTAACATTCTGGGGTAGACGTCGAAATACATTTCTGAATACGGATCAAATAGTCCCACCATCGGATCTTAATGACTCAGAAGGATAGAATTTCTTCGCTCGTGTTGGGACAATTGATGCTATTGTAGTGGAACTATTTTGTGAAGAAAAGATGATTACTGACGTATAAATACTTATCACTGAACATATAAAACAATAACTGTTTTATTGTACACCTTTTGTTTATCTGTAGTTGAAGTCATTATTCGAGCGCCACCCACGACAACCCTGCGGACCTATCGATCGTTTCGTGCTAACAATAATTCTACTGGCTGAACGCGTCTGCATGGGGAATTTTTCACACCTCGGAGCAGCGATAACTTCGATAAATCAGACTACGTCCAACGATTGTCTGCATTTATGCCAGCACTGCCCCCGGTGTCAACTCGAGTTCAACATCGACAAGTCGCTCTCCCCCGAGAGTTATCTACCTGCTCACATGTTTTCATTCGAATCGATTCGGTCCGCAAACCTCTGAAACAACCTTACGAAGGACCTTTTCACGTGATTTCTCGTCACGAAAAGACCTTCAAGGTTGCTCGACATGGCCGCGTCGAGATAGTCAGCCTTGATCATCTCGAGCCAGCACACGTCGATGACAGTGCCCTAATTGCTAATCCGAGACCCGATTCTAGACCTAGCGGGATCCTTAAAACTACCCCGGATCCCACGCAAGCGAAATCAGAGACCTAAATCTCACGTCCCAGTCAGCAGCACGCGCCATCTGCACTATCGACGGATGAAACTCCGGTCTCACGTCAAGATCGGCAGACCACGCCGCACTTGACTGCGGATGAGAATGCAGGCTCACATGGTACGCACGAGGCTACTGTCTCGCGTTCCGGTAGCCGCGTACGCCTACCTGTACGCTTCCTCGAATAACTACTAATCCTCCACAGGTGCGGCATAGGATTTTCCCATCATACTACATGCATGCTACACTTTTTCTCCCTTTCTTTGATTTTTTTTATTCCGAGCCTATACCTCCGACCATTGACCTGTTGGTACCGTCAACTTCAGTCAACCTTGGCGAAAGCTGGCCTGATCATCCACGCTCTTGTCAATGCACTCAGTCGATTTTCTGGTTACGAATATATCTGGAATACGAATGGCTTTGTACTGATCGTTTCTGGCTCTTTCGCTCAATCTGGTTCCGTCCTACCTCTGCAGCTTAATCTGGTCCTAACCCCTACGAACGCAATCCTCAGACTCTGGATATGAGCCACGCTGGTGTGGCATGCCAATCCGATAGAAAAACGTGGCAAGTAATTAATGGCACGGCAGCTGACAAACTCCCGGTGACAAATAGAGCTTCATCAGTCGCTTCCTGTCGTCAACCTTTCTGGCCGACAAGCCCCCTGAACGCAGCCGCTACTTATAGAAAGTGTAAACCCTTTCTAGGGGGGGTTCCTGTAATGGAACTACTTTGTGAAGAAAAGATGATTACTGACGTATAAATACTTATCACTGAACATATAAAACAATAACTGTTTTATTGTACACCTTTTGTTTATCTGTAGTTGAAGTCATTATTCGAGCGCCACCCACGACAACCCTGCGGACCTATCGATTGTTTTGTGCTAACAATGATTCTACTGGCTGAACACGTGATATTAATTCGATATCACTCGACCTTCTATCAATAAATATCGATATCCTATATACAATCTTCTGTTCTGGAATACGTGTGGGCGTTTAAACTTCGCAACCCCCACTATTTCCGATCCTAAGCAACCGTCAAGTATTAAACAAACCTTTCTGCTAACGAAGATAAATTCAGAAATATTGGATAGAGAGAAATTCAAGCAGGTTTTCGGATTTATATGGTGAGTTGCAGGTGGTATCCTTTCCACAAATAAGATATTACCACACGAAGCTTCACAAGTTGAACATAATATGATATACTCTTTAGTAAATTCATTCATTGTAAAATAATCAAATACAATGATTTATAAAGGTCGATGATACTTTCCACTGATAATCCTGGTTACTAAAATGATTTCAAACTCTATGTCACAATCACTTGACTATTTCTCTGACATTGATGGATGATAATTGGAAATCGATCTTAAAAAATTATTACAAGGTTAGGAACCAAATTACCATGTTTCTTCTCAGTTTCATCGCTAATGTACTGGATTCATTGTTTGAATAATTTTTAAAAATCTTCGGTAGTCTAAAATCGTTTGTAGTTATACAAAACACTTCAGTTTCGGTAAATAAAAGAGCCTTAGGAATAGACCTTATCCCAAACTTCTGCATGTTGGTTTTCTTCTAATACAAAAGATTGTGGAAATCAGTGACTTAAAACACCTGCGAACTGAACACATAAACTTAAACTGACGAACAAACAGTCAAGGATAAGTATGAAAGTAACGAAACGACCATGAAATCAGTTACAGTGGCCAACTATAGGTTGTAGCTATGCTGATGAAGTTAGGATTATTTGTCGTGTTATATTGTACGTTGCTTACATTAAAATGCCCCCAGCACTCATTTAAACAAGCTTAACTTGACTTCGGAAAACGTTTGTAGTCTCGGTAATTCGCAAAGCGATCTTAAAAACTTTTGAAAACGTCACGTTGCCCTACGAGTGAATATTTAGTAAATTTCCGAATCACTTAGAATGGTAGATAGTCACAGGAGTTAATTTACTTAAAAAGCCAAAACGATTCCTACCATCCAATCTATTAACCTTCGCTTCGAACATATGAGTGTCCCGACGTCTTTATATGTCAAGACTAAACATGATTAACTGCATCAGAGGAACTCATAACGCAGTAGGTCGTTATTAACTGAGTTTTATTTGGTCTCACTTGAACTGGGAATGCACAATGGTTTATTCCTTACATCAACTTCAATGCTCTTCAGAAATATGCATCTCGGCTTCCTCAACCTTTCGGAGTCATATAAGAAACATGATAAATTCATGTTGTAAGCAAAGTCTAATAAAAATATTATAAACAGTTGTTAGTGGAAGGAGGGTAGATATTTAGTTTTATGGACAAGAATTCCATTGAACCATTATTCAAAACTAATCGATTGAAATATCAACGTTCATTTGCATAGTCTAACAAAAAACGTGCTTATTGTTTCTCATGATTTCAAAGTCTAGGAGCCACCAAAAAAGAAATCTAATTTAACGATACTTTATGTCGCCGAGCTGATTGAGCCACTATGCGAAGTTCATAAGATTCGATCTTAGCAGGTATATTTATGACCAAATAATTTCATATATATAAGTGAAAGTTTTATTTTGTTCCTTCTTAAAGGAAGCTTGTTGAAATAAACAGTACTGTGATTTTTATAATAGATAAAACAGATGAAATTGAATAAATTCATAATTATTACTATAAAATGTCATATGCCATTACCAGATCACCGCACATCCTTCTATAACTAAGCGAAAAACAATCACAAGACTTGTGGCCTATCTTCGTAACGTTTATTTTTCAAACGTATCAGCAATTTAGTTGCCCGTCTGTACACTCTGTCGAAGAGAGGGTGAAATAACGTAACGAAACTTTAGGAGAGTCTAGCAACCACCAAGAAGCAACTCTAATTTAACAATACTTTATATCGCTGGGTTGATAGATTCGCTTTGGGCAGTTCATAAGATTCGATCTTCGCATGTATATTTATGACCAACTTGAGACACGTCCTGCGTATCAGGCATGTTGATGATGCATTGCTTGTATTAGTCACAAACATGCTTAATCTTTTTAACCATGCACATCAAAATATACGATTTAAAGTGTAGCATGAGCAGGACAATAAGTTTCATTTTATAGACCTTGGCATTTAACGCAATGAAAATGACGAGATTTAAAATGCAATTCATCGAGATTACATGCGGAATAAAGTTTATTTGAGGCTTAATAGCTTCCGCACGATAAGTTAAAAAAGAGTTCAAGTTAGGATCCTGTTCAATCAAGTACAAAAGTTATGTTCACAAGACGAGTTGAAGAGGGTAGAATGATTGTTGAAATGGTTCTGGGGTGTATTAGTTATCCACGAAAGTGTATCAACAAATATGGGAAGATAAGTGTGCTACAATAGTGTAAAGCCTGCCTCTTTATACGAAATGGATTTACAAATGATTAGGTATCTGGTGAGATTGATACTAAGCTAGGAGTTGCATTACAGGACTTATCAAGCAGCAAATCTGGTCTCAATATAACGAACGGAGTGCTCGTTGAAACGTTCGACATTCGCCATTTTTTTACCTCCGAATGAGTTTACCGGTTTACACATACGTGCCGAAACATTCTTTGGTGGAAGAGAAAGGGGAATTAATGTTTGCATTAATGAGCATATTCCTCGAAAATTTTCAAAGTCTTGACTGTTTGTCACTTGTTTGCTAGTTGACATGACGTTGAGACTTCAAAATTGTTCAAATCCACTAATAAACGAACTTACCACATTTTGCCGAAGCAACTGTGATCTAAAGACATAAACCAGACTTATGCATTCAAATTCTCACAACTACCACTCTCCCTGTCGAACTTCGTCGAAATTGCTGGTTTTGAATTTGAAACATTGAGTTTTCGTTTCGTTTCATACCTTTATCAGTTTTATCTTGGCTTGACCCCAATTACATATCATGATCAATCCATCTTTGTTATTAGTATCATGCAACTCTGAATGTCAGTAGTTTCGTCTAGAATTTTTATATTTATTGTTATACAACTATTCTAACATTTGAACACTTTTTATCATTCGTTCATATTCATTAGCGTTATATTGAGCCTTATTGATGAGAACACTTCTGATATTGTGATATAAGGCATGTACACTAGTTTTTACTGAATAATAATACTACTACTATTGTGGTGTGAGCTACTTATAAGTAGTATATGACGTGAGTGTCAACGTAATGTCTGACAGCAGAAGATGGGGGAAGATCAAGAAAGGAAGAGTTAGAACACAATGGAATTTGTATGAAACGCATGAATAGTGACAATCGATTGATGTTTTGCAACAGGAACAGTCCAATTTGATATGATGGACTGATATTTTGCAAATTAACGATTTACGATATGGTTTTCCAATTTTACTGAGTAACACTGTAATTTTCGTTAAATACAATCCGGTTGCCCCACCTGTGTTCTCGTTCACTACACACACTATGTTTAGGTTGAGAAAACATGAAGTAAAATGAATTTAGGCTATTCTGTCATATCTGTTTATCTAGTTCTATTTAAATTGTACAGAGGTGGAGAGCAGTTAAACCGTTTAATAAACTGTTCCATTCATCGTTTAGACTCTTGGGTTAGGTGGACTATTTTCCTTTCTTTTTATGAAATAATCTCACTAACTCTTGGATTCTTGATACCTGTAATCCATTTAGTAAATTTCTTTTTACCTTGTTCATTATGATTACCTATCACTACTTTTGAGTATGATCATACAATTATGATGTGTTGTATCATCTTTGCTTCACGAGATGTCCGCCACAAACATACACCATTTATGTTATTTATTCCTGACAGATATACGTCATACATTTGGACTAAGGAAGTTTTATTTAGTACTGCTCTAATGCGACTGCGATGTGCCTCCTCATTAGTCCAATTAGACATGGAAAACCAAAGCCAACGGAAATACTGAATAACTTTTTATTTCCGAAATTTGTACACTTTTCGACAATCGTTAAAGATATAAGCTCGCAGAGAAAATAATATCTCTTTTAATCAGGATTACAGCTGAAATGAAAATAGATTGAAAATAAATGTATACGTACAGAAGTCTAGAAAGAAAATCAAACATGTCTGGTACTACTATATACCTTGACAGAATAAAAGTAACTCAATATTCGGCGTTACGTGTTCCCGGTGTTACGAACACTTTTTCCCACTTCATGTGACACAGGTAGACTACTTCCAACGATGAGTTATGTTGTATAAAGATAAATGAATTATCATCGATGGAACTTTATCAAATATTAGAAACGATTTAAAGGTATGCTGTTTTCAACAGGTTTCCTGAAATACTGATCCTTTGAAGAGGTAAATCTCCGCTAAAATTATATCTACACTATGAAAAATGTAGTACTGCCTAGACAGTTGTAATTTGTGGTCGTTACTATTTAACTGCTATTATTTTTAACGCTAACAATTTATTTCGGCTTGGGATTTTAAAAATCCATGATAGTGCATGGATCACAAAGAGGAAGGGATAAACATACCTTCTAAAAACTTATTTTCCAATTCTGAGTTTCCTGCTACTTTTGCTGCATTATGCATTTGACGTAGAAGTTCTTCCAACCTTCTGATACATCTAATCACACTACCTTCGAACGCACTTGTCAATTCACAAAGTCGAGAAAAACTCACACCTTCAGCCCAAGCACATACAACATCCATTAAGTCACCGACGAAACGATTAACGTAAGCTTGTTCATCATCCAAAAGACTATTTCTGCTATCCCCAGCATTGTGGACCAAAGTCGTTGGTTGTTTCTCATCGTTACTGTGGTGCGTGGTAACGCTCACTAACAATATTGCATTCAGCAGACATTTTCGCAAGATATCGTGCCTTATCCTTCAAAATTAATAATATGCAAAACTGTGTCACTGAGGTGGAAAGAAAAAGCAATAACCAGTATGGAAGCCGTAGCTTACATAAGTAAAAGTTTTACAAATAAACTGATGCTTATCATAGCCAAGTGACACGACAGGACGTCATCCAATATCTGAGAACTAACATCACTTTGAGTAGTCACAACATATCGATGGTTTTCTGGGCAATGCTTAAACTGTAATGCTCATCGCTAGAATATGAACGACCGAACTTTCCAAAATGTACATCGTATTTTTGCAGACTATACTAGATTGATCACAGTTTTATGGTAAATACCAATCGAAAAGTGGTTTGTCAAATCTCAGGAGCAATAATTTATGTGGTACTTGATAATTAAAAACTAATTTTAGACTATTGTAGGAGTGAATACCTGACAGGCCAAACAAACAGGACAGGTCTTTTGAAGCTAGACAACGTACTTTATTTGCGTGGTAAACCAAAGTACAGTAAATGATACTATTGGTTTGGTTCAAAATGACTCATATGCGCAAACTTTAGGTGTCTTGAATCCTGAAAGGTTCGTACCATTAAACAGAAAATCATACTTTTACGCAAGTTTTCCCCTTCTCTAATTTGGCTTACAAAACATGAGGAGTTTATGTGATCGTTAACTGGAACAACTGACCAACTAATTTGAGCTTACG